AAGATGTGGTCTATTCTGGAGAACGTTCCATGTGCATTGGAAAAGAATGTGTACTTTGCAGCGGATGGATGGAGTGTTCTATATATGTCTTTGAGGTCAAGTTGGCTGATCTGTTCTGTTTAATTTTTCTTTAACTGTGAGTATGTATTGGGGACAGTGGTGGTTCAGTGGTAGAATTCTCACCTTCCACACAGGAGACCCGGGTTCAATTCCCAGCCAGTGCACCTCATGCACAGCCACCACCTGTCTATCAGTGGACGCTTATGTGTTGTTATGATGCTGAACAGGTTTCAGCAGAGCTTCCAGACTAAGATGGACTAGGAGGGGAGACCTGGCAATCTACTTCTGAAAGTCAGCCAGTGAAAACCCTGTGGGTCAATACAGTCCCATCTGCAACTGATTACGGGGCTGGTGCAGGATCGGGCAGCATTTCATTCTATCACTCATGGGGTCGCCATGAGTCCAGGGCTGACCCGACAGCAGCTAACAACGACAACGTGAATATGTGTTACTTTTGTAATTTTTAAAAAGCTGGAGAATTATGTGCAGATTTGTTTGAAAGTCACTTTGGCCCCTTGTTCAGGAGAGAAAAGCTCAGAGATGTTAAATCAGTGCTGCTCGGATTTAACGTGCATAGAGTCACCTGGAGGTCTTGCCAATAATGCAGGCTCTGGTTCCTTAGGTCCAGGTGGGGCCTGAGAGTGTGCCTTTCCAACCAGCTCCTGCCTGCTGATGCGGCTGCTGCTGGCCCACGGAGCACACTTAGAGAAGCAAGGGTTAAAGGATTTGTCCAGGGCTGCCCAGGCCAGACTCCAGTTCTGATCTCTTGCCTCCCCAAACAGGAGGGAGTAACTCTTACCTTTTTATTTCAGTATATCTTGATGACCAGCCGGAAATCAGAACCTCCTGGACTGGCAAGCGCCTGCACTGTCTGTCATGCTGGCTGTTTGCACATGGATGAGGAAAGGTCATGTACTGTGAAGCATTTACAGATGAGTCTGTTAAATCTCAGCCCGCCATAGGTGTACGCTGGGCCTTCAGCGGTTACGTAACCGATTGTGCAACTGCAGCGTGAGGTAATGCGGTTTGTCCTTTACAAGGAGGAGTTTTCTGGAAAAGAGCCCTGAAGAGAGTAAAGGTATGCCTTCCCTCTTTCTGAGACCTGGGGCCACGAAGGGAACCTGATGACAGAAGGTGCTTCCGTATCACGCCGAGCAGTCCGCCTGGGCCGTCTCAGGAACCATCCTGGAAGCCTTTGTGCCTCTTCAGTCTGGCCACATGCCAGGCTCTGACGATGCCTGCTCATGGATGCAGCTCATGGAATCCTCATGACATCCCTGCGTGGGAGGTGACATTGTTCTCCTCTTAGGGGTGAGGACACTGAAGCACAAATTCACTAAGTATTTACCTTCAATCACACGCTGTGGTAACTTCCCAGTGCCGCCGTAATACGAATACCACAAGTGGGTGACTTTGTTGTCGTCGTTGTTAGCTGCCGTCAAGTCAGTTCTGACTCATCGCAACCCTACGTACAACAGAACGAAACACCACCCGGTCCCGCGCCATCCTCACAGTCAGTGTTACACTTGAGCCCATTGTTGCAGCCACTGTGTCAATCCGTCTCGTTGAGGGTCTTCCTCTTTTTCGATGACCCTCTACTTCACCAAGCATGATGTTCTTCTCCAGAACCGGTCCCACATGATAACATGTCCAAAGTACGTGAGATGAAGTCTCGCCATCCTTGCTTCTAAGGAGCATTGTGACTGTACTTCTTCCAAGACAGATTTGTTCATTTTTTTGGCAGTCCATGGTATATTCAACATTGTTCACCAACGCCATAACTCAAAGGCATCAATTCTTCTGTCTTCCTTATTCATTGTCCAGCTTTTGCATGCATATGAAATGATTGAAAACACCATGGCTTGGATCAGATGCACCTTAGTCTTCAAGGTGACATCTTGCTTTTTAATACTTTAAGGCGGTCTTTTGCAGCAGATTTGCCCAATGCAAAGCGTCGTTTGATTTCTTGACTGCTGCTTCCATGGGTGTTGACTATGGATCCGAGTAAAATGAAATAGGTGACTTTAGTGAACAGAGATTTATTTTCTCACAGTTCAGGAGGCTAGGATTCTGAATTCAGGGCACCAGCCTTAGGGGAAGGCTCTGTCTCTCGGTTCTGGGGGAAGGTCCTTGTCTCTTTCAGCTTCTATAGCTGGTCATCCTTGGTTCCTTGGCCATCTCCACGTGGCATCTGTCTTCCCCCATTTGTGCTTGCTTGTCTCTGTGTCTGGGCTGCTCCTTAGAAGAGATTAGGTTTGGGATACAGCCTACACTGCTTGGGCCTCATTAACATGACAAAGAAAACCTTATTTCCTGACAAGATTACATCCACAAGCATAGGGGTTAGGATTCCAACACATATTTTAGGAAAGGGAGAGGCACAATTCAATCTATAAACTGTTACAAACCACATCTGTTGCCGTCAAGTCAATCCCGACTCATAGCGACCTTATAGGACAGAGTAGAGCTGTCCCATAAGGTTTCCAAGGCTGTAATCTTTACAGAAGCAGACTGCCACATCTTCCTCCCTCAGAGCAACTGGTAGGCTTGAACTGCTGACCTTTCAGTTAGCAGCTGAGTTCTTAACCACTGCCACCAGGGCTCCTTCAATCCGTAACACATGCCTAGAGTTTAAAGCTTTGTCTCTCTGATGCCAGAGTTCCCACTTGTCAACCCCATGATGCAAAAAATGACATGTCACCAGGTTAGGGTCAAGTCTTGGAAGAAGCCCCTGGAGCCTGGTGAGTTCCAGTAGAGTTGCCCATACCCAGTTCTGTTCCCAGGCTACCACTTGGGTGGTGAGGATTGTAGTTTTCTTAATTTTCCTGTACCCACTGCCATCGAGTCAATTCCAACTCATAGCGACCCTATAGGACAGAGTAAAACTGCCCCATAGGATTTCCAAGGCTGTAAATTTTTACGGAAGCATCTTTCTCCCAAATTTTCCCATAGCTGAAGGTAATTTCTATTTTGGAGAATCCAAGGTGAGAGACCATGTGTTCAGACAACTGGTTATTTATTTCACTCTCGTGCCTCAAATAAGCCCCCCTCCCATCTTCTGCTGTGGCACAATGGTCAAGTGCTTGGCTGCTAACTGAAAGGTAGGTGGTTTGAAACCACCCAGTGGCTCCTCGGGAGAAAAAACCTAGCAATCTGCTCTGATAAACATTACAGCCTACAAAACTCTCTGGAGCGGTTCTACTCTGTCACACGGGGTCGCTATGAGTTGGAATCAACCTGACAGCACCTAACAACAACAAGGCTTTGGTAACCCAAGTTTTGGGCTTGGGGCTTAAAATAGTGTACGTCCAGAACCTTTCGGTTAGCAGCTGAGCACTTAACCGTTGTGCCACTGAGGAGGTGGCGAGGGAGGCTTATGTCAGGCACAAGAGCAAAACAAATAACCAGTTGTCTTATGTCCATGAAGAAATAAAACATCTGTTTTTGGCCCCAGCTTCCCCCCAAGAAGGCTGGAGGGGAACTGAAATCATGAAAAGGACATCTGGCTGGGATTGAGGAACTAACTAGAAAGAAGAGAACACGAAGAGAAAGCTCCGAGGGGCGAAGGGAGAAAGCTCGTCCCCTTGCTCAGCCCACCCCGTCCCGCCCCCTCCTTCGTGCTGAGTCCGTTGCTGGTTTTGCAGAAAGGCCTGGCTTTTGGAGAAACGTCTGCTTTGCCCTGTGCCTCAGTGACCTGCCTTTCCGCAGCCCTACCCGCTCCTAGAGTTGGCCCCGTGCCTCTTGAACTCTGTTCTCCTTGAGGGTGGATTGTTCTTCCTTCACAACAACAGTCTTGCTGGCTAAGACAAAAGCAAATAAAGAGGTGAACTTGCAGCCATCACACAAATTGCGAGCCGATTTATATTGTAACCTAACTCACCGGGAAATGTAATTTGATAGAAGAAAAAGGTTTACAGACCTTTCAGATTCCTTGGTTTTTTTCCATTTCATGCTATCATTTGCCACCCAAACTGAAAATGAGCGCCACCTAGGGGTCCTCAAGGCAGTCTGTCAGAGAACGACGTTGACTTGTGCTTAGCCTGACCCAGAAGACAAAACCAAAGCCAAGCACACCCGTTGACATTGAGTCGACTCAATTCAAGAAACAGGTGGGCTGAAACCAGCACTTTTCTTCCACGTTTGATGATTAGAGAAAAATATGGTGCAGATTCTCAATAACCAGAATATATTGTACTTTTAATACAGACTAAATCAAAACTAAACCCGTTGCCGTCGTGTCAATTCCAACTCATAGCAACCCTGTAGGACAGAGTAGAACTGCCCCATAGGGTTTCCAAGGAGCAGCTGGTGAATCCAAACTGCTGGCCTTTTGGTTAGCAGCTGAGCTCTTAACCACTGAGCTACCAGGGCTCCTTAATGCAGTCTGAAAAAAAAAAAAAAACGTTGACTGGATTCCAACTCACAGCGACTCTATAGCACAGAGTAGAACTGCCCCATAGGTTCCAAGGAGCAGCTGGTGGATTTGAACTGCTGACCTTTCGGTTAGCAGCCAAGCTCTTAGCACTGCACCACCAGGGCTCCTAATGCAGACTGTCTGTCATTAAATTCAGTTATACTCTCTGGGTCCCTCTTCCTCTTTCTGTGATGTTCAGTCTCTATTTCCCACACCTATTTTTCAACCAGGTGGGATTGTCTGTCATTACAGTTATGGGGAAGCAGAGACTGAGCTCTTTTCTGGGACAGTGAGCAGGGCACCCCCACTGTTTTACAAAGAAGGGGTGTTGTGTAGTACGGAATTTAACTTGGCCCAAACACAAGTCTGACCTTTGCCCTAGGCTCCAGGGAAGTGATCTCTAAGGCTGTGAAATATTTTGCCTGATAAGAGTGTCTTTGTTTGCCTGGGGCTTTAGGCCATGCTACTGTGGAGGCCATGGGTCATCCAGTATCAGCTCAACATCTGGAGGGACTAGAGATTGAGGTCAGCCATATGGGTGGTGTCTTAGTTATTGAGCGCTGCTATAACAGAAATCCCACAAGTGGGTGGCTTTAACAAACAAGTTTATTCTCTCACAGTCTAGGAGGCTACAAGTCCAAATTCAGGGTGCCAGCTCCAGGGGAAGGCTTGCTTTCTTTGTCAGCTCTGGGGGAAGGTCCTTGTTATCAGTCTTTCCCTGGTCTGGGAGCTTCTCGGCACAGGGACTCTGGGTCCAAAGGACACTCTCTATTCCTCGTTCTTCATTCTTGGTGACATGAGGTCCCCAACCTCTCTATTCAGTTCTCTCTTTTATATCTCAGAAGAGATTGATTCAAATACAACCAATTCCTGTAGATTGAGTCCTGCCTCATTAACATAAATGCCTCTAATCTTGCCTCATTAACATCATAGAGGTTAGGATTTACAACACGTAGGATAATCACATCAGATTACAAAATGGTGGACAACCACACAATACTGGGAATCATGGCTTAGCCAAGTTGATACACATTTTTGCGGGACACAATTCAGTCCATAACAGGTGGGCAACCATATTTATGTGACTGAGCCCCAATAACAGTCCGGGCACCAATGTTCAGGTGAGCTTTCCTGGTTGGCAATACTCCACGTGTAGCGTCGTACACCAATGCCAGGAGGAGTTAATGCTGCCCATGGCTCCAGGGGACAGGACAACTAGAAGCTCCACACTTGGAACCCTCCTGGACTCTGCTCCCACCTGTCTCTTCCCTTGGCTGATTTTAATCTGTATCTGTTAGCTGTAATAAACCATTGTTGTTGTTATTAGTTGCCATGGAGTTGGTTTCGACTCACAGCAACCCTGTGTCCAACAGAATGAAACACTGCCTGGTCCTGCGCCATGCTCACAATCATTGCTATGCTTGAGCCCATTGTTGCAGCCATTATGTCTATCTCCTTGAGGGTCTTCCTCTTTTTTGCTGACCCTTTGCTTTACCAAGCGTGATGTCCTTCTCCAGACTGGTCCCTTCTGATAACATGTCCAAAGTATGTGAGATGAAGCCTCACCATTCTTGCTTCTAAGGAGCATTCTGGCTGTACTTCTTCCAAGACAGATTTGTTTGTTCTTCTGGCATTCCATGGTACATTCAATATTCTTTGCCAACACCATAATTCAAATGTGTCAATTCTTCTTCGGTCTTCCTTATTCATTGTCCAGCTTTGGAATGCATGTGAGATGATTGAAAACACCATGGCTTGGGTCAGGTGCACCGTAGTCCTCAAAGTGACATCTTTGCTTTTTAACACCTTAAAGTGGTCTTTTGCAGCAGATTTGCCCAGTGCAATACATCATTTGATTTCCTGACTGCTGTTTCCATGGGCGTTGATTGTGGATCCA